GATAGATAGATAGATAGATAGATAGATAGATAGATAGATAGATAGATGGATGATAGGTAGGTACATAGATGGATGGATGATAGGTAGGTAGACAGGTATAAAGATAGAGTTAGATAGAGATGATAGATGATAGAAAGATAGAGATAGAGATAAGATAGATAGATAGATAGATAGATAGATAGATAGATAGATAGATAATAGATATATCTGATTCTGAAGAGGGTTAAACTTGATGGCTTCAATGAAACTTTTTAATCCTATGAAATTCATGAGATGTTAAGAGATAGGGGTTCTAAACTCGATTCACTTATGAATTTAATTGGTGGCTAAACCAAGATAAAAAGTATTTCTTGACTATAGGCGTACCGCCATTTTCTTAGGATTAGCAATAGCACTTAGACTTACATACTGCTTCACAGCGATTTACAGCCTTCTCCAAGTGGTTTACACTGTCAGCCTCTTGCCCCCAACCATCAGGGTCCTCATTTTACCAACCTTGGAAGGATGGAAGGCTGAGTCAACTTTGAGCCAGTCAGGATCAAACTCCTGGCTATGGGCAGAGTTAATCTGCAATATTGCATTCTAGCTACTGCCCCACCATGTCTCTTGCTTCTCACATATTTTTGAAATCTCACACACACACACACACACACACACTCTGACATCAAACTCACAGAAAAACCATTGTGTGAAATCTGCTGGGTAGATCATTAAAATTATAATCCCTAGAACGGTTGAGCTAAGCAGTCTTCAACGCAGGCAAATTAAAGGAACCTTCACATGGCTCTGTATACTGCAGACACTTTTCCCATGCCGGTCTGTTTTGAAAATACATTTCATCTGATGTTTTTTTGTTTTTGTTTTAGAAGACATGGTCCTGATGTACTTTTCTTCTCTCCTTCAGGATTTTAAGTCTGGCTATGGCATCACAATCATACCGATGAACGTGGCTAACGTGAGGCAGATTGATCGGACCGCAAAGCAGTGTTTTGAAATAATTACACCTTATCGAAGCTTCAGGTAAATCCAGCGAATGTTGGCTTTTTAAAACGTTAAGGCAGAAGTTTGGAGAACAGCTGAAATAAAAAGTACTCTTACACAGCATAGAGATATTCCTTGATTGACAACAGCTGATTTAGTGAGCCTTCAAACTTACTTTCAAGAAGAGACTGGGCTGCCATTTGTCAGAAATGGTGTAGGGTCTCCTGCTTGGGTGGGGGGTTGGACTAGATGACCTACAAAGTCCCTTCCAACTTTGATTATCAGTTATCTGTTTCAATGGCACTGAAAAACTGACTTATGACTATTTTTCACACTTACAAATGGGTGGCATTCTACCAGTTTGGACTGGTTCAGGCGAACCCCTTGCTCTGAAGATCAGTTTCTTTCCTTTTGTGAGAGCACAGCTGGTTCGCATGGCAGAGCGTTTGCCGCACCTCAGCTGTTTTAGTTGCAGGGACTGCAGAAGAAGGTAAATGTGCTGACCCAGGGTAGGATACAAAATAAACACAGTCACGAAAACAGTTGAAGCCCCTTTTATTCCTTCACTTTGCTTCAAAGCTCCAAATATCCTTGACTGGAGACAAAAGCAGTTACGAAAAGGAGGAAATGCCGTTTAAACTAAGTATGCCTATAAATTATAAAGAGTATAAACAACACAATGAAGCAATTAAGGGAACCAGGCAAGATAAGGGCTTGACGATGTCCATAGATATTGGAACATACACTGGGAAGGACACCAAACTCAGAGAGGAACGACAGACTAGAGATATTTTTATGCTTTGTTTCCAGCACTGGCCCATAAGCATGTCCATCTTTTTGACCAGTTCTCACAGCTGCAGCCCATGAAGAGGATCAAGGCCCTTTCCTCCCCAATAGACCACACCATTCACATCTCTCTCTTATCCTCTCCTTCCTGCGTGCCTTAGGATGGAGAAGGGATGGGCCTGGGTCTTCCTCTGACTGCCCAGCCAGCCTCTGCCCTTCCCCAGCCTCCTCCACAACCTCCGGAGCTACACTCCCACTCCCTGTCAGCTGTTCCTCCTCTCCCTCAGAGTCAGTCACCACCAGGGGCACGATGGTAAATATAAAACCTTTTTGAAATGCGGAGCATTTGGTGCGAATGTGTGTGATTCCCAAAACGATCGTTATATCGGAAGAATCACACCCCTGCTTTCAAACATTGCAGCATCCCCACGTGGTCACATGATCAAAATTCAGGCACTTGGCAACTGACTCATATTTGTTACATTTGCGGTATCCCGTGGGTCACAGGATCCCCATTTGCAGCCTTCGGACAAGCAAAGTCGATGGGGATTCGCTTAACAACCATGTCGCTAACTTAACTGCAGTGATTCTCTTAACCACTGTGGCAAGAAATGTCATAAAATGGGGCAAAACTCAACAAACATCTCCCTTAGTAATAAATTTCAGGCTTAATTGTGTTCGTAAGTCAAAGACTACCCGTAATAGCTGTTTCAGTATAACAAAGAATAACTGGAGTGAACATATTTATTCCGAATTAGTTTGAACAATAGTTCACTTCCTTTAGTATTTCCTACATCTTTTTTTATGTGTGTGTGTTATATTTATATTATATAATGTTTCGTTTCCCCCAAATGAAAATAGTGTGATGTATAGAGATCGGTAAGAATAATTGTTGCCAACTTGACAATTTGAAGACTTGTGGACTTCAACTCCCAGAATTCCTCACCAGCCATGTTGAGGAATTTAACATACTGGCTGAGGAATTCTGGGAGTTGAAACCCACATGACAGCTGAGGTTTTCTGAGAGTTGAAATTCATTTGCTGGCTGAGGAATTCTGTGTTCACCCTGGGTGGGATACAAAATAAACACAGTCACAAAAATCAGGTGAAGCCCCTTTTATTCCTTCACTTTGCTTCCAAGCTCCAAATATCTTTGACTGGAGACAGAAAACTCCCACACAAACAGTTACAAGAAGGAGGAAATGCCATTTAAATTATAAAGAGTAAAAAACAACACAAACTAGGCAAGATAGGGGCTTGAAGACGTCCACAGATATCAAAACACACACTGGGAAGAATGCCAAACTCAGAGAGTAACAATAAACTAGAGATATTTACATGCTTTGTTTCCAGCACTCACCTGTACGCATGTCCGTCCTCTTATCCAGTTGTCACAGTTGCAGCCCATGAAGAGGATTAAGGCCCTCTCCTCCCCAGTAGACCACATCTCTCCCTTATCCTCTCCTCCCTGCATGGCCTAGGATGGAGAGGGGATGGGCCTGGGTCCTCCTCTGACTGCCCAGGTGGCCTCTGCCCTTCCCAGCCTCCTCCACAACCACCGGAGCCACACTTCCACTCCCTGTCGGCTGTTCCCCTTCTCCCTCAGAGTCAATCTCCACTAGGAGCATGACAGATTCTGAGAGTTGAAATCCACATGCCAGCTGAGGAATTCTGGGAGTTGAATTCTGAGAGTTGAAGTCCACAACTCTTAAAGTTGCCAAGTTTGGAAAATCCTGCACTAGACCAAACTGACTCTAAATTGCTGCATTTCAGCTTTACTGCCGAATCTGAGAAAGAAAAGCAGGATTGGATTGAAGCGCTCCAGCAGTCCATCGCCGAAACTCTCTCTGACTACGAAGTAGCTGAGAAGATCTGGTTCAATGAATCGAACCGAATTTGTGCCGATTGTAAAACTCCCGATCCTGACTGGGCGTCCATCAATCTCTGCGTCATCATTTGCAAGAAGTGTGCAGGTAATTAAGAAACTCTCGGAATTCCCCCTGAGCCAGTATGGCAACTTTAAAAATTAGTGGCATGCTTAAAAGCCCATTTCTATTCTTTTACTATGGGGTTCACAATCACGTTCATGACTTCAAGTTGCACGTACCATTTATGTCACCGAAACTATGGTAGTAACATTGCAGTTGTGCAGATTGAAGAGGATATTTACTCTCTGAGCTTGGTGGTTTTCTTGCAGACGTTTCATGACCCAACTAAGTAACATCATCAATGCTGGAAATATATTGGTAGCCACTTGTAGAGAAACAGAAAGCATACCCCACTTCCTTCTGGCACTGATGATGTAACCTAGTTGGGTCATGAAACGTCTGTAAGAAAAGAACCAAGCATAGAGACACCTCCCCCATGCTATCAAGATCTGATCACCTCAATATTGAAAGATGATACCAACTCTTTTGTAGGCTCATCTTAAAGTATTATTCTTAAACTTGAAAGCAAGGATTCCATTTTTTTTCCTATTTAGAACTGAGCTTTCTTAAGATATAGGTTGGGAGCTGCATGGCAATAATTGATGAACCCAAACCAAACAATACTTTTCCCTCCCTTCTTTCCTTCTCCCTCAGTTCCTTCCTTCCTTCCTTCCTCAAAAATTGCTTATTTATCAGGACTCCATGAAATTAAGTCAAAGGCTGTAACTCTGCTGCAGAGTTTACATGGCTTAAGCTTGGCTGTCTTAGAACCCATATTTCCAAGTGTGATTAAGCTCTGCAGGAGAGGCCTTCTTGATCCACATCCACATGGTTTGAGACAGACATGCATGACACAGCTACACTTGCTCCGATTGTGTTGTCTGATTGCTCACACCCACCCACTTGAATGGGTACGCACTTTCATTAACACTTCTCTGTCTTAGAAACTTCATCAAATCTTTCCGTTCAAACTTATTGTCAACTCGTAAATCATTCCTATGCCTGTTTCCGAGTTGCTATAAGAAGGAGTTGGGGGGGGGGGGAAGGCCTGAGGGAGTAGTGTGGTAGATGAAGGCCAGAACCACAGTCAATGCTTATCTTGTGGAGATTGTAGCCTAGGCTACTGGATCTTCTGCTCACGAAAATCCTTCATTGGAGATTGTGATTGATGACATCCAGCCCGTGAATGTGTTTCATTGGAGAATTTGATATATGACACACGGGGGTGGGGGTGGGGGAGGATCATAGGTGATAATAAATTATATGTCTCAGAGTTGGCTTCATATGTTGCTCCTAATAAATCTTTTGAATTCTTTTGTAGCTTGGCTTGAGGCTCATGATTTAATTAGGGCAATCGTCAGAACCCTGACACTTATTCCATGGCAGTTTGCCTTCAAATTCCTCTCCTCTGTGGGACAGACCTTCAAGGATGATTTTTTTTTCTGTTTATCCCAGGGCAGCACAGATCGTTAGGACCCAGAGATTCAAAGGTGCGAAGCCTCAAAATGGATGCCAGCGTTTGGACCAATGAACTCATCGAGGTAGGAAAGGAGCTGGTGGACAAAGAACAGCAGGAAGAGTCTATTTGACTTAGAAATTCATGATGTTTGATTGCATATTTTAGTACAGCTAGTGGTTCTAGCTGACGATCATTTAAATATGAGCCAGCCCTATGCTGCAGCTGCCAAAAAAGCCAACATAATCCTAGGCTGCATCAACAGAGGAATAGAATCAAGATCACAGAAAGTATTAGTACTGTTTTTCTAAAGCCTTATTAAGAGCACACGTGGAATATTGCATCTAGTTTTGGTTGTCATGGTATAAAGACAGTAGAAAGAGTGCAGAGATTAGACATTTTCTAAAGGAAAAAAACACATCCAATCCGAATAACCAGGAAGAATCAGCAGAAATAAGAACTTGTTATTTAACCATAATCAGATCTCTTGAAGTTCTTACCACCGTTGTAATTTCCACAAAATAACAGTGGCTCAGTGGCTAAGATGCTGAGCTCGTCGATCAGAAAGGTCGGCAGTTCGGTGGTTCGAATCCCTAGTGCCGCATAACGGAGTGAGCTCCTGTTACTTGTCCCAGCTTCTGCCAACCTAGCAGTTCGAAAGCATGTAAAAATGCAAGGCGAAAAATAGGGACCCCTTTGGTGGGAAGGGAACAGCGTTCCGTGCACCTTCGGCATTTAGTCCTGCCGGCCACATGACCACGGAGACATCTTTGGACAGCGCTGGTTCTTCGGTTTTGTAATGGAGATGAGCATTGCCCCCTAGAGCCAGAAATGACTAGCATGTATGTGCGAAGGGTCCTTTTTTCTTCTGATATCCTTGCCTTGAAGTTCTTACAACCTTTGTAATTTCTACAAAGTAACTTCGGCAAATCTCTTATACTGTATTTCAATGTAAAAGGGTATCCCAAGTTGTTGTTATGATGTTCATTATTTGTACATCTTTTTTTCCATTTTTAAATGATCATCCAAGTGTATCTGTAAATCCAGTATTTCTGTCTTGTTATTTTAAGTTGTAATTTTAAAACCCACCTTGGCCTCCAACTCGATTTTCTCCAGAGGTATTTGTTCATCTTCAGTAGTAACTTTTGCTTGCAATAAAGAATGTAAAAGTTCAAGCAATCAAACATTTCCTTTAAAGTAGTCATTTTTGTGCTATAGTAATCAACTTTCAAAGTCTTGTTTTACAACTGATATGTAAACAAGGCTGATTTTCCCCCCCACACACAAGAAGGTCTTTCTAATTATCTTCAAAGTCTTTCTTTAAGTCAGCTTCATAAAGCCTTCACGTTTACAAAGCTTGGCAGAAACAATTTGGAAATCACCTCTTTGCTGCAAGAAATTACCAAAAATTTAAGATCTTACAAAGCTGGAATGGTGGGATTTTGTTTCATTTTAAATGGATTGAAGAGAATTCTCACCCAACAACTGGCGGGCTTGTGATTTTACAGTCTTAAATGAGCAAGAAGAAAACTAAAACTGCAAAGTGATTAAAAAGATGAGGTTGGATCCCATCTTAAATCCTGAGGGGATGATTTAATGCTCAGAACCTGATGGAATCCACTGACTCATATTTATAACGGTTGCAGTGTCCTGGGGTTATGGGATTCTTCTTTTGCGACCTTCTAACAAGCAAAGTGAACGAGGAAGCCCGATTCACTTAATGACTGTGGAAAGAATGGTCATAAAATGGGGGCAAAATTCACTGAACCAATGTCTCACTTTGCAACATAAATTTTGGGTTTAATTGTGGTCATAAGTCGAGGACTACCTGTGTTTTGCTTTGATTTAATTTTCTGAATAATTTTTTTTAAAAAAGTCAAAAAAATCAGTTCCTTTCCAAGCTCAATTTTCCCCCTCTATTTCCTTCTGTAGCTTTTTATTGTGATAGGCAACGAAAGGGCCAACAGCTTTTGGGAAGGTAACCTCCAACCAGATGAAAAATTACAAGTGGATGCCCCAGATGACAAGAGGCTAACTTTTATTACCCAAAAATATAAAGAAGGGAAATTCCGAAAAATTACGCTGCTATTTAAAACCAAGGATGAGTTGAACAAGGTAATCGCGGGTGGAAATAATGAGGATGGGAACAATTTGGGGTCCTTTTTTGCTTTTTGGTTGGAAAAAAATCTATAAAGTGTTTGAGAGAGAAAAGTAGAGGAGAATCTTGCGCTATGCTTTGGGATTAAACGGGGGGATGGCTTTCTTAATGCAAACTAATGAGTTCATTAACCTGATGGATAGAAATTGAATGAAATAAATAATCGTAACCCATAATGGCAATGAGCCCGAAGGATGTAGTTTCTATGCGTGTAGGGTAACATGACAATACAATATAGAAGGTAGATGTGAATGATCCGGAGTGTATCAGAAATATAACAAAAAAACCAAAACGTAAATAAAAGTCCTTTAATGCCTTCAACTTGGCTTCACTGTTTAATTGTTCATGGCTGAAGATTAAACTATTTTCAAAATGACATTCCAAATGAAAGAAACACAATTCAAAGAGCTGATAACGAAGCAAAAACCAAAAACAAACCGCACTGAATAAAGTTCTACGACAAGCCAGGATAAATAATTGCCAACTTCAGGAAGATAACCAGGTACAGAAGAATGCCAACCAAGATCAACCTCCTCTAGGAATAAAACACTAATTTGTCTCCAGCGTTTGTTAGCACGCAGGTCCAAACTCTTATGCAGATCTCATACCTGCAACCCATGAAGAGGATCATGGCCCTCTCCTCCTGAGTAGACCACATTTTACCCTGATCCTCTCCTCTCTGCATGCCCTAGGATGGAGAGGGGATGGGCTTGGGTCCTCCTCTGACTGCTCAGCCAGCATCTGCCCTTCCCCAGCCTCCTCCACCACCTCTGGAGCCACCCTTCCACTCCCTGTTGGCTGTTCCTCCTCTCCCTCACAGTCAGTCTCCACCAGGGGCATGACAATAGAATAGAATAGAATTCTTTATTGGCCAAGTGTGATTGGACACACAAGGAATTTTTCTTGGTGTGTATGCTCTCAGTGTACATAAAAGAAAAGAAGATTATTACATTAAGATAAAACCATAAAAATTACCATAATATGGAGCCATAGAATTGCAATGGGATAGAAGTAATAATTCAATAGCTAAGGAAAGTAACCTTCTAACTGCTTCTGTGGGACAACCTGCCACAGCCAACTCACCATGTTCAATTCACCACGACCAACGCATCACTGCCAACTCACCCTGGGCATCTCACCCTGGCCAACTCACCACAATCAACTCACCACAGCCAACTGCCAACCACTGCCAACTCACCCTGGGCATCTCAGCATGGCCAACTTCTCTCCAGGACAACTCACCACAGGACAACATGCTGAGGAAAAAGTTTAAGAATTTTATTTAATTATTTAAAATAAACACAAGCATGTTTTTAATGCTCGCCATTCTCATTTCATTCTGTCCTTTCTTTTGCATCCTTGTTTAACGATTCTGTGCCACCGTTTGTTTGATATTAGTGTAACTCTTGTCCAAGAATGAGTTGTCCTGTGGCCAGTTGACCCACAGATAGATGACAATACAATGTAGAAGATTATTATATTAAGATAAAACCATAAAAATTACCATATTATGGAGTCATAGAATTGCAATGGGATAGAAGTAATAATTAAATAGCTAAGGAAAATAACCATCTAACTGCTTCTGGTGTGGAGTGAGACAACTTGTCACAGCCAACTCACCATGTTTTTGTCCCAGAATGAGTTGTCCTGTGGCCAGTTGGCCCACAGCAAGATGACCACAGCGAATTGTTGTAGACCAGGGGTGTCAAACTCAATTTCATTGAGGGCCGCTTCAGGGCTGTGGTTGACCTCGGGTAGGCTGGGCAGGCGTGGTTGACTGGGTGGGCGTGGGTGTTTGGGTGGGTGTGGTCAGCTTGATGCCACTCCCCAAACTGCTGGCATGTTTCCTTTTCGCATTGGGTTGACCAGGCTAAAGCCACGCTGGCCCGATATTTCCTCTTCACATTGAGTAGACAGGCCAAAGTGATGTGGGACAGCCCCTTAATCCACATCATGGATCGGATCTGACCCATGGGCCTTGTGTTTGACACCCCTGAGTTAGGTGCTTGAGAGCACCTTGGTGACTATAACTCTTTTCTGCATGCTCACTCTTGTCTTTGTGAGTGATCCCATTTAGTTAAGAAATGTCAATCTGTTCTTCTTTGTCATTCTGCTCATACTTTTCATCTTTGTGACCAGGCGCTCTGTGCTGCAGTTATTAAGCCCGATGTCTTGGAGACCATGATGTTATTGTTCAGTGGAGCAGACGTGATGTGTGCAACGGGTGATCCCGTGTTCAGCACCCCATATTTGTTAGCCAAAAAATCCGGGCAGAGGTTGCAAATGGAATTCCTTCACCATAATAAGTTTTCAGGTATGTGTCATGCCCCTGTTGGAATCTGATTCTGAGGGGAAGGTCGAGCAGCTGACAAGGAGTGGGAGTGTGGCTCCGGTGGCTGTGGAAGAAACTGGGGAAGGGCACAGTCCTGCTGGGCATTCAGAGGAAGACCCAGGGCCACCCCGTCTTCATCCCAGGGCACGCAAGGAGGAACGGAGAAGGGAGCAATGTGAGTTATGGGGGCTATGGGGGAGGAAAGGGCTCTGATTTCCTTCATTAGCTGCAGCTGGGAAAATAGGATTTTAAAAGTGTGTTTGTGTACAGCACCTTGCTGGAAGCAAAGCGTGAATTATCTTTGTTTGTCAAGTCTTACCTGGGTTCTGGCATCCTCCCAACTGTGTCTGTTTCATTTTCTTTTGGAAGTCTGCAATTCCTTATCCTGTCCTGTCTCGTTAATTGCTGCAGCATAGTTTGTGTTGGCTTTTATTTATAATTTATATATGTACTTTGGGTTTGGATGGAATTTCTTCCCTTTAAAAAACTGTTCTTAGGAGACTTTTTTCTCCAGCCGATGATAATTGGACATTGGGGGCCAGGTGGGAGGAATTAAAGGGACTTTACCTACTTTTGTGACTTTGTTGCTTTTGTGCTTCTCCCCGGGCCATCACAGTATGGTTTTTCAAGTCGCGTGTGCCTTAGGGTCTCCTGCTCGGGCAGAGAGCTGGACTGGAAGACCTCGGAGGTCCCTCCCAACTCTGTTATTCTATGCGCTATGTTCTATTTCCTGAATACTGAAACCAAATGCTGAGTACACCTGACTCTGCATCAACCGAAGCTTTCTAGCTTCCGCTCTTCAGAGCAAGTAGTCTTAGGCAATGATGTGAATTTTAACTTCCATAACCAATAGTTCTTCCTTACTTTATAGATTTTTCCAACTGTGATGGCTGCACCAACACCACTTCCTCTCCCGATTTCCCCTTACCATCCTTCCTTTATGATAATTTATACATGGTTTCCCTCAACCCTTCCAAGCTGTTTAGTGAGAGAAAAATTAAAGAAGGTATGTTGGTCTTTCTTTCTTATTTGTGGCTTAGGTATCCTGGTATTATTGTCAGCCTTGGAAGCCATATTTTACTTAGAAGCTTCTAGGCTCCCGTATTTTAGTGCCTGGGAATTTGGGAGGGGGGATTTCATAGAGAGGTGGAAGATTAGACACCACAACATTCTTTCTCAGAGAGTCAAGGACATGTTGCCCTGCACATGGGGATGAATGTCTGGAGGAATGTCTCCAATTGGAACGATGGTTGGTTGGACCATGTGATGGACTGGTGGGTGTAGGGGATGGGTTTTGATTTTTCAATAGGGAAGGGAAAACCCAAAACTCTCAGGTTCGAGTTTTCCCAGATGCGCCAATATGACTTCTTTAACGAACTCTTACTTGATGAATTTTGTTTCTGAGTGCCAAATGAAATCGGGAGTTTCATTGGAACACTGACAATTATATTGGTCAGATGCTAGATCTCAGAAACCATAGCTTGAACCAAGGATGAAGAAGGAGAAAATTGGTCTGCAGCAGAAAACATATATTTATTATTTGCTTGCTTGTTTGTTTGTATTCTTTTGGCCATCCAACAACAACTAAACAACTAAACTTAAAAAGACATAAAACTGCTACAGCTATTAAATTCAACAGGCAGCCTGGACTAAAATGTTCTAATACAAAATTCACAAAACAAAACAGTAGCCATTATCATGTTGCCTGTGGTGGGATGAATCAAATAGCTGGATGGATGGAAGGATGATAGGAAGATAGATGATAAAGATAAAAGCTAGATTACACTGTGCCGTATATGTAGGATAGATGAGAGATTAACTAAGAAAGAGTGAGATAAAGATGATAGATCCTGAAGAGAAAGAGAGAAAGAAAAAGAAAGGGTGAATGGATGGAAAAGAGGAGGAGGAAGGGTAGGAGGGAAAAAGGAAGAGAAGAAAGGAAGGAAGGAAAAGATAGGAGGAAGAAAGGAAAGGAAGGAAAGAAAGAAGGGTAGGAGGGAGAAAGGAAGGAAGGAAAGGTAGAAGGGAGGGAAAAGGAAAGGAAGGAAGGAAGATCTACAGTCGTCTTCTTCCCTTTATTCATTTTAAGAACATAGACTAAGAGCTAACTTTAGTCATTTTTCAACGCTATAGGAAATCTTGCCTGGTTATATCTGATCAGAATACATTTTGGGGGATGATCTTTTTGAGACTCTTTTTCCCCCCTCTCCTCTCCTCATGCGATAGCTTGTTTTCCTTAGCTTTGCCCCACTGTGCAGGCTTTCTACCCTGACTTCCACCAGCATAAAATAGATTGACTCTAAAGGCTTCAATCTCCATCCCATGGGGTGGGGTGGGATGAAGAGTAGCCTCTTCTAGCTTTTGGCTGCTCTACACTCAATCCTTTCTTTTCCAGCCAGTTTCTGTCAAGCTATAGTTTTGTTTCCCTGCAGCTTTCATTTCTGTTCCAGTTCAGCGTGTGTCTTATTTTCCCGCTTATGTTTCCGTTCTCTTTTTTCTTTTTGCCTCCCCGATCTCTCGTGTTTGCGTCTTGATGGTTTCTGTACATCAGCAATTGGCGACTACAATACGAAGCTTTTAAAAGCCTCTGTTTTTCTTTGGGTTCTTTAAAAAGGAAAAAAAAAAAAAACATGCCTGCATCATTTCAATGAGGCTATTTAAAAATATCAAAAGGAAAGAAATAAGCTCTCCTAGGCTTATTCGCATTAACCATCAAAACATCCCTTTGTTTAAGATGAAAGCTTGGTTGAAGTTGGACTGGCTACTTAAATGAGCTTAAATGGGAAGCAGAGTAATGGACTTAATTTACAAATTTGATTATTTCTCATAGGGATGGAAGTTCAAAGAACTTTATTTGGTGCAGAGGTGTACATAAAATCCATAGGTTCAGGACGTCAGATGTGAAATGTGCAAATATTGATTTTAGATCCAGGCAAGATTTTACTTAGTCTAAGCTCACTTGATCTCCCATTTTATGCATTCTGTGTCTCGATATACTTACCTGTCTTATTTGAATTTCCATATGGAGACTGGATTTTTAAAAGCATTATTAGTGAGCCGTGGTGGCGCAGTGGTTAGAGTGCAGTACTGCAGGTGACTTCTGCCGATTGCCGGCTGCCTGCAGTTTGGCAGTTCGAATCTCACCAGGCTCAAGGTTGACTCAGCCTTCCATCCTTCTGAGGTCGGTAAAATGAGGACTCAGATTGTTGGGGGCAAGAGGCTGGTTCTGTAAACTGCTTAGAGAGGGCCGTATAGCACTGTAAAGCAGTATATAAATCTCTTGCTATTATGACCCAATTAATTTAAATTATCCAGCAGAATGTCCAATTTTTATATTTCTGTTTTAAAGATAAAATAATTTTGTAAAACAGTCTGGTTATTAAAAGCAGAATCCCTTGTAAGTTAAAATAACAGATCTAGGATAACTCGTCACAGCCACTTTGCCATGGCCAACTTACCCTAGCCTTTTATACACCACTGTTTCTTCGACATTATTTTAATTTTTGTCATTCCCCTTTTGTTTTGTCTTGCCTTTGGTATCCTGTCTTGAAGGATTCTATTCCACCATTTCTTTGATGTATACAAGAATTATACTAATATCAAAGAAATGGTGGAATAGAATCATTAAAGCAAGGATGCTGTAGGAGGGACAAAATGAAACAGGAATGACAAAAATTCAAATAACGTCGAAGAAACAGTGATGGAAAACAGTGCAGTTATGTTAAGCTATCCCACTGCTGGCCAGATGAGTTGATGAGGTGAGTTGGCTGGGGTGAATTGGCTGGGATGAGACAGCCCCGGCAAGTTGTCCCATTTCGAAAATGACAGCTAGCAAATCGGTTGTGTATCACCAAATCACAGAATTCTTTGGTAAAGGCAGATGGAAGATCGAAGTTTTGCAAGACTCATTGAAGGACTCTGTTGGCTATACCTGTTTTCCATCATGGATTGTTTGCTAATCGTCCTGTGATAATGATTAACTCTCCAGTTAATAAAAGAAATCCATCTTTGAATATAGAGTGCAATAAGAGATGGTGCGTGTTGGAAAGCGGCTTTTTGAGTTACTATGAGAATGAGAAGATGGCCACCCCAAGTGGCACATTGGACATCGGTGAAGTCATCTGTCTTGTCATTCATAAGTCGGAAGACACCTTACCCATGGGGTAAGTCCGAGGTCTTTGTTGGTTTTGGTTAATGCTTTGCTCTGTCAGTGTTGATTTATTATTATTATTATTATTATTATTGTCATTATTATTGTTATTGTTATTGTTATTAAATCTTTAGTGAGAGTCACAGCCTTTGGGGCTGGTTGGTAGCTCAACAGCTCAAGTCCTAACCAAGGACCTAGGAAATGTTCGGGTAGCGTCGGAGGATTTACGCTGTTCCAAGTAGGGTGGTTTTTTGTAGAATATGGGTATTCAAGTCTGATAAATTCAGAATTTCCAAATAGCGAGGTAGCCCTTTAGGTTATTGCTCCAAGGGCTCCAATTACAATTGGGATAACACACAATTTTTTTTTCCAAAGTCGCTCAACTTCAATTTGTAAATCCCAATACTTTGTGATTTTTTTCTTGTTGCGTGTCTTCAATCCATGCATCACCAAATATTGCAATGTCAATGAACCAACTCTTTTTCTTTTCAACTATTGTTATGCCAGGTGTGTTGTGGGCCAAGTGCCTGTCTGTCTGAATTCTGAAGTCCCACAAGATCTTGACTTTTTCATTCTCCAGGACCTTCTTAACCTGATGTTCCCAGTAGTTCTTATTATACTCAAATCCAAACTTTTGGCACAGTTTCCAGTGAATGATATTATTATTATTGTTGTTGTTGTTGTCTTTTATTATTATCTTTTATTCATTAAATATGAAACTCAGTCAACTGAACATTTAAAAATGTATCATCATCATCATCATTATTTAGCAAAGCAACTTTTTATAATGGTTGTTACATTCTTACTGTGGAAGTTTTAATGTTGGATTTCTCATTGTAAATTGCTGGTAGTTCATGGCTGATCTAAGGATAAAAAAAACAGAACATAGAATCAAAGAGTTGAAAAGGACCTTGGAGGTCTTCTAGTCCAACCTCCTGCTCAAGTAGGAAACCCTATTCAATTCCAGAGAAATGGGTGTCAAGTCTCTTTTTGAAAGCCTCCAGTGATGGAGCCCCCACAAGGTTGATTGATGGTTGAATGAATGGAATGGAATCAATGAACCAATGGATGGATTAATGATTGAATCAATGAATGGAGTGAGTGAGTAAATGAATGAATGGATTATCTGAATCAATGAATGAATCAATGTATCAAGTAAGTGAGTAAATAAATAAATGAATTATCTGAATCAATGAATGGAGTGAGTTAATGAATTATTGAACGATCTGAGAAATTAAACTCACACATTATGGACAGGATGAGGACTCTGAATTTTCTCTCTTCCAATAAAACTTTACTCTTAATCAAATTAATGAAATTAAAATTACTTGATATTAATCGGTGTTTTTAAATCAGTGGATCTAGGAGTTCATGGCAGATCCAGCAATATACAAATGGAGTGAGAGAGAGAATGGATGAATGAATGAATGAAGAATGAATGAATGAATAAATGAAGAATGAATGAATGAATGAATGAAGAATGAATAAATGAATGAATGAACAAATGAATGAACTGAGAAATGAACCTTATGCTTTATAGGCAGTGTGAAGACTTTGAATTTGCTCTTTCCCAATAAAACTTTACTCTTAGTGAACATAGTAAAATTAAAATTCCTTGGGATTCACAGCTCAGTGAAGCTTGTAAAAATTACAAACTTTTTCCAGAGGCATGAGGATATTTCCTGTCAATTTTTTAAAGCCAGGATTTGCATCTCTAATAGCTCAGGGGAGGGAAAACTTTCAGGGAGGGAAAACAGACTCAAATGGTGTTAGTTCTGTGTTTACAAATATCTGTTTTACAAACAAGGACGTGGAATAATTAGAAGCGTCTCTAGCAATTTCTCCTCTGCTTCCAAGTAAGGCTGAACACCCCAATGCCCTTGGTTGGGCCCAGATGGGAAATTCTTATTCTTTTCTTCGATTTATTCCAGCTGGAATAGAAAAAGGATCCATTTCAACCTTCTTTCTTAAAGCCCAGAAGCCCAAACATAACAACCTTCTGCCAATTCTGCAACACAAGGAAGGTAGCTAAGCAACCAGGTAGTCTTCTACATGGAGATAAGCCATAATGCATTTCCCTTGTATTTAAATCCAGGTATCTAGACATAAAAAGGAATTCGCAGGGAAATGGGAACGGGCCACTTCGGGCTTTTTTTTTTTGCTGGTTTTTGGGCCATTTTTGGCCTGTTTTTTTTCAGTCTGTTTTTCAGTCTGTTTTGGGCCTGTTTTTTAGTCCATTTTTGGCCCAATTTTTGGCCTGTTTTGGGCCTGTAATTTGGCTGCTTTTGGCCTGGTTTCGGCCAGCAGAGTGCTGCAGGAGGCCATGGAGGGTGAAAACAAGGTGTGTGGGGGCCACACATGGTCCATTTTAGCCTTCAGAGGCACCCCGGGCTGGTCTCTTGATAATTCCAGGCCGGCCCCACAGGCCACATTTAAGCACCCCGGGCCTTGAGTTTGACACCGCTGGCATAGTTAAATGTCATTCAAAAGACTTATCTTTCCCCCTCCCCCATTGAAAATAGAGCCTCAGTTTGAACATGCAATATGTTGACTATTGTTCTTTCCCCTACCACCAAAATTATTAGTTTAGTTCCATGATTTTAGCTTTCGTTCCCCACCTAGTTGATCTCTCCTCTGTTCCTTTTTATTAGGCTATCAAATGCATATTGATTCCCCATTATATTTATATTCCCAAACAGATGCAACACAAATAAAGCACTTTAGAGGGCAAAACTCTTGCTATTCGTTTCCAAGGCAAGAGAAAGAAGGTTTGAGAACAAAGTGTACCACTTACTGTTTTCCTTTTGTGAAGCTGATATTAAATAAATTTGATTCATCTTCTCCTTGGCAATTTTAGAGTGATGTTTACCTTTGAAATCTACTTACTGTCAGAACGCGCATTTCTCTTTGGAGCTGAGACGGCGCATTCTCAACGAAAATGGACTCGGGCCATTGCTAAGGTAGTTTTTGTAATTATCTGTTCAAGTTAAGACATACACCGTTAAAGAAAATGGAGAGAAAACACTTTTGTTTTAAGAAGGAGCTCTCAGACAAAGGCAACTTTTTAATGGAAGCCAATTTAGAAGAAGTAAAATTGTTTTCTTGGTGAATTGCAATGGTTCTTGTTGCTTTTTTTTTTTTAAAGAAAAATGCAGTTAAATATAAATTTTAAAAAATCTTTTAAAAAAAGATTTGATATTCTTGAGTTAAGAAACTCCACCGAAGTTTTTACCAGTAAAAGCCATCTTAAGAGTACCTGATTCCCCGAAAATATGATATAAAAGTAAGTCCTAGCTTGATTTTTACACGTGCGCCCAATATAAGCCCTACCCCCAAAATAAGCCCTAATTAAGATCCCGCCACTCCAGAGTGGACAGGTAAAAATTAAGCCAGGGTGGGGATGGGGAGGGGTAGAGCTGCCCTACTACTTACCTTTGGACAGTTGTAGCCAGGTCTCACACACCCCGACACCTGCTTTGCTGGCCCATTTCTTCTGCAGCTGGCAAGGCTGGCAAGGGTTTCCTGAAGGCCCCTGGAGCCGATAACAAAGCTCTGGATCGATCCAGAGCTCTCTGATCTGCTGCAGAGGCCTTCAGGAAAGCCTTGCTGGCTGCAGAAGAAGTTCCTGAAGGCCTCGGACAGCGAAAAGGAGGCCGGAGGCAACATGTTCAAGTGAGATTAGTCAGTGGATGATATCCTCCCAAAATAAGACCTTGTGCCTTTTTTGGTGGCAAAAAAATACAAGACAGGGTCTTATTTGGGGGGGAAACACGTTAGATTTTTTTTTTTCTTCCTTGAGCAAAATTCTGACTTTTCTCTTTTGAAAAGTACTTGAAGAAGATTTTGAAGCCTTCTCTTGAATTTCTGAATTCTAAGAAAGAGCTTTGGCTCAAACTTTTGTACTAATTTTTGTTTCTGTTTGAAATAGCACTTTGTACCTGAATTGGCCAGAGGTCTTCAGGAAAGAGAGACTGATGTCATTGGCCAATTGTTCTACAAGGATTGCCAGGACTTGGATAATTGGAAAAAAGGCTGGTTTGCTTTAGAGAAGACGAGCTTGTATTTTTGCCTCGAACTGGAAAATTTGCAAGAGAATTCAATGTATCTAAGGCGGCTCCAGGAGTTAAGTAAGATTTAAAAGAAAAAAATATTGATTTCATTACAGTTTGAAAATCTCACAGATCCATTGTGAACAGATTGGAATCTCTTGGCTTAAATACAGGTAGTTCTCAACTCATGACTGCGGCTGTTGTAAGTTTGAACAGTTATTAAATGAACTGTGGTAAGTCAAGAATTACCTGTAGTTCCCTGAATCTCATGGTTTCTTCACACAAGACTTCAGGAATATACGAAGCAATCATTGTCAAGTACTGGGATATATCAATTAGCTGTGTTGCCTCAGTAATTATAATGAAGGAGAATGGCTGTATTACAATCAGATTGTAAAGAAGTGGAATTGTAAAGTTGGCTTTGCAAATCTGTGTAAAAATTAGCACCAGAAGAGAAAGATACTGGCCAGCCGTGATCATGTTCAATGAAGCTTGAGTGATCCAGACAATTAAGAAATCCATCCTGTCTTCTCTTCCCAAAATTCCACATGGCAGTAAGATTACCTATTAGAAAGATCCCGTACTCTGAGGGACATCCACGTTAACTGAGACTAGATTCAGCTCTCTTATTAAAGCTTAAGGATCTTTCTCTGCAAGGTCAACCTAGCTATCCAACAGAGATCAGAATAGTAGGGATGACAATCCGCCAATCAGAACCAATAAAGGAGAATATTTGTAGCTCAGGGTTGAAATGAGGAAACTGACCAAAGTCATCCAACGGGCTTTCATGGCTAAGGCGGGACTAGAACTCACCATCTCCTGGTGATTGGCCCAAAGTCGCCCGGGCAGTTTTAATGCCTAAACTGGGACTAGAATTTACCATCTCCTGGTGATTGCCATGTACATGTAGTGTATACTTCTGGATTAGATTGTGTTATTTCTCTGTGCCATATAATATAAGTGGGTATATGCATACGTGTATGTATGTATGTATTTTGTCATGTTTATGTAGTGCATATTGGCGGTAACCTTTTCAGAGCTTTATGCCATGAAATTTCATTTTAATGTATGCTGATTAGTGTATATTTAAAGTGATAATAACCTTATTCTCCTCTCCCCTCCCTTCCTATCTCTCTTATCTTTCTTATCTCTCATCTCATCTCATTTTCAGCTTGAAGTGGCTGTGTTTCTGAGTCTGTTTCTCCGCCTATTATGCAGCTCTCCTTTCCCCTCTCCTCTCCTCTTCTACCTTCTCTTCTCTGCTCCTCTCCCCTCCCCTTCCCCCTCTCAACCGATCTCCTTTGCAGTTCTTCCCTTATTTTCTAAATCGCTCTACTTTGTGTCCTCTATTCCTAAATAACAGAGAGCAAAAGAGCCAAGGAATTTTTATCTCTGTAAAAAATGATTTATTTATGATCCAGGAACCAAATTATTCCTGTTGATTGCTGTTTCCTTGATGGGAAGCCTGTTGTGGCCCACCAGTGGCTAGCAGAGCCGGCGGCAGACTCAGACAGGGAGGAGGTTGGGGAGGAACATGGGCCAGTCCTGGAGTCTGGGGAAGGCTCTGATGAGTGTTCTGCATCAGAGGCAGAGATGGGGCCAGGGCCGTCCAACAGTTATCAGCTGCCTTCGGAGTCAGTGGGGCAGAAGAACAGCTGGAGCCTGTTCCCAGTGTGCTCATGCGCAGAGCTGCCAAGAGAAGGGAACAGTTAAGGAACAATGGTCAACTTGGGAGTAAAGGCACAGGTGTATGGTGAATGGCCCCTTCCATTAAGAATAAAGAGGAGTGAAAGGGGAATGGTGTTTGCAGGAGGCAATTAGTTCATTTAATTCGTTTGAAGTTTTGTTTGTGACTCTCAGAGATTCCTTGCCAAGTATTTTCTTGTGCAACGTTGTACTTGAAAGCTATTGGCCTGGCAACTCTCCAAGCCTGATAATGTCGGTGGTTGTAAATTACTCTTGAAAGACTGTTTGCCAAGACTTTGCTGATGTGAATGATAGCAATTCACATTAGCCTAATAAAAGGGGTTTTGTTGGGATGAGGAGTCTGCTTCGTGATTTTGGGAAGCCTAGGTCAGAACAGTTTGCTCGGTATCTATAATAGTACTTTAGTTAAGCAAGATTCCTCTTTATAGGCAAGCAGCAATAAAGAAATTACTCTGAGGTAGCTCCTCCTTTTGTTCTCGCTTCCTTGGGCCTCACAGCTGCTTCTTTTGTCTTTACTACTTGCTAACTTCTCTTAATTCTATGCCCTGAGATGAATGGCTATTGAAAATAGATTATTTCCAAGCCTCGTTGTTATTGAGCATAAGTTTTATATAGATTCCGCCCACTTAGGAAAAAGCGGTTTTGTTTTAAGTTTGCAAACGGCTCTGCCTTTTATGTTTCAGCGATCAGCAGCTGTGTCCAGAATGGAGAAAAAACAGATGTTCTGCTGCTGGTCGAGAAAGGAAGGTAAGCTGTAAATTATGGGTGGTTAAGATAAGGATGAGGGCTGAGCAAACCAATTGGAGGGATTTGCTGCAGATCTTGGGAGATATCCATTAGCAGATGTGTGGGTGGGTACATAGCTTTAGAAGACTCAGATGGAGATAGTTCTGCCTCGATGCTGTTCAGATCCAGCTCCCTGAGCATGACAAACCCTCTGCATTTAAATTGACGATTCCTTTATTAGGCGCGCCAGTAGCCCTGGCAAAAAATTTCTCCCTCAACGCAGGCTAACAAGTCTGTCCAGCAGGAAGATGAATAGTTGTCTGCCATATCTATTCATCTCTGCCTCCTGCCTTTTATCTCCAGAGCTAGGGAGGGGCTTGGCTAGCAGCGGTAGCTCTTCCTTCCCAAGGACTGGCCCATAGATTTCCACTGCTCTCCTCTGTCTTCTATGCATCTGCACGTCAGGCACTGGACCCAGGTGTTCCTCCTCTTCTTCATCAGCTATCTCCAGACCTGGGGGCTGTTGACTCTCCATCTGAGGGCTGACAGATGGCCCAGGCTCCACCTCTGTCTCTCTGTCTCTCTTTCTCTCTGCAAGCTCCCTTCCCTCTTCCCCCTCAGAGCTCCCAAATTGCCTTCATGCTGACCCTGACTCCCATGCTGTGATGACCCAGGGCGTGGCACAAAGGCAACACAATCACATAAGTAAGATAAGTCCTTTTAATACCTCCAACTTTGCCCCCGATGCCCAGTTACCTTCAGCTGGAAAAAAAACTCTCCCAAGAACAGTCTTTAAATGAAGGATATTCAGTCCGAAAACAAAGTACATGTAAACTCTAAATAAAAATCCACATAAACTATGCTGCAGCAATTAACTGGAAAGAGCAGGATAAGGAATTGCAGCCTTCAAAGGCCCACAAAACACACACAGTTGGGAAGACGCCAGGAACTCAGATAAGCCTCAACCATAAAAGATAATTCACGATTTGATTCCCACGAGTTGCTGTGAGCAAACTTCCTTTTTAAACACTGTGTTCCCAGCTGCAACTAATGAAGGGAATCAGGACCCTTTCCTTCCCCATAAGCCATGCAACTCACATTGCTCCCTTCACTGTTCCTCCCTGCATGCCCTAAGATGAAGAGGGGTTGGGCCTGGGTCTTCCTCTGAATTCCCTCTGCCTTGTTTCTACCTCTCCCCTGCTCTGCCCAGCTGGACTTTGCCCTTCCCCAGTTTCTTCCACAGCTATCGGAGCCACACTCCCACTCCCTGTCAGCTGCTCAGCCTCCCCCTCCAAATCAGATTCTGCCAGGGACATGACAAATACCTCCTCCTCTGATTCAGCTGCTGGAGGACCGGCAGTCGACAGGCCACAACAGATGCTTTGGATATTCTCAGAGGACAGCTTAGCTCTCTGGAAAGGGCTGTGAAATAGAAACTCCATAGAAAGAGAGCACTAGAAATCATCATGTTTTCACCAAAATCATAGGATTGCATTTACCAAAATTGTATTAGCTGCATGTGGTTAGAAGTAAACTCTGCTGGGAACAAGGTGGTAGAATTCTGACACAGAAAGTTCATAACCCTGGTTCCATCCATTACAGAGAGTCCTTGACTTACAACCAAAATGAAGCCCAAGCTTTCTGTTGCTCGCTGAGATACTTGCGCAGTGAGCTTTGCTCCATTTTACGGCCTTTCTTGCCATGGGGATTAAGTGAATCACTCCAGCTGTTAAATGAGTGATGTGGCTGTTAAGCGAATCTGGCTTCCCCATTGACTTTATTTGTCAGAATCTCGTAAGTAGTGATCGTGTGTACACACACCCCGGGACACTGCAACCATCATAAATATGAGGCAGTTGCCAAGCATCCAAAGCTTGATCGCGTGGCCATGGCGATACTGCAAGGGTCGTAAGTGTGATAAATGATCCTAAGTCACTTTCTTTCAGGGATGTTGTAACTTTGGGTCACTAAATGAACTGTTGTAAGTCGAGAACTGCCTGCTCCAACCCAGCTTTTGTCCACCCGGCTTTTGTGCCTTTGAGGTATGGTGGCTGTGGTCTAGTGTCACACTTTGTCCTCACAGTGATCGGTCCTTGCCGTGGCTTTGCCTTGAAAGAGAGAGAATCTTCATATGTCTCTCCCTCTCTCTCCCTCTCTCCCTTTCCCTCCCTCCCTCATTCTCTCTCCCTCCCTCGGCCTCCCTCGCTCTCTTTCCCTCTCCCTCCCCTTCTCCCTCCTTCCTCCCTCCCTCTTTCCCTCCTTCCCTCCCTCTCTCTCCCTCCCACTCTCTTTCCCTCTCTCCCTCCCTCCCTCCCTCTTCCTTCCTCCCTCCCCCTCCCTCCCTTTCCCTTCCTCCCTCGTTCTCTCTCCCTCCCTTGCTTTCTTTCCCTCTCCTTCCCCTTCTCCTTCCTTCCCTCCCTTCCTCTCCCTCCCCCCCCCTTTCCCCCCCCCCACACTTTTCGGTGTCTTTTCTCAAACTTTATTTGCAGAACATTATACATCCGCGGCCACACCAAGTTGGATTTCATCGCCTGGCATAGCGCTATTGAAAAAGCAGCACGTACCAATGGGAACCTGTTAGAAGATCAGCAGCTCAGCAGAAACGACGTGCCGATTATAGTGAACAGCTGTATCGCATTTGTTACGCAGTATGGTAAGTGGAGATGGGCATTGGTTTATGGGCACTTGGATAGCATCCTTAAGATACTTCGCCATCAGATTACATTATGTGGGCTCGAGCTGAGATGTGTAAAAACTACACTTTGAGTATAATGCTCAGTTCGGAGTAGGTGTGCTGAGAATGGAACTTGTTCAGTACTACCTTGGTACTCATCATTAATTGTTTCTGGGAGGCACAGTGAGTGCCAAAAACAATGAATATGAAACAGATGTTTCCCATAAGGAATAACGTAGTGAGTCACAAGGCAGCCGACACTGAGAAGTTCTAGTTTGTGTGTTGAGTACCAAACAAATGATGAGTACCAGGACCACATTTTCATGTCGAAATGTACCAAATTTGATGAGTTTCAAAGCAGTTGAGTATCAAGGTACCACGATATCTCATTACTAGGGCAATAGCACTGGGGAATTGAAGTTAAAGCACCCTAGAGAACCACTGAACAAATTTCTCACTTAACAACAGAAATTTTGGGCTCAGTTGTGGCCATAAGTCAAGGACTACCTGTAACTGGGTTTAGATTTGAATGTGTGTTCTATATCCTGCTCTTTCACAATAGGCCTGCTTTACATTTTCCACCCTGCTAATCCACAAAGAGCTGAAAACGACTGGAATCATGGAGTTTTATCTGATTATTTCTAGAATATGAAAAACCTTAAATGACCAATGTAGGTTTATATCTAGTTATGCAGCACATCTCTAGTGATATATCTCTTTAAGGCAGCCTTCTTTAATATGTCTCCACCTTGTGCTGAGTGTGTTGCCATTCCTGGAGGTCAAAAAAAACCCAAAAAAAACCCATTAAGGTTGTCTTCAAGATCTGAATTTTGCTTCCAGCAACATCGTCTAAACAATTTCAAAACATTTTCGGCAGATGAAATATAAACGAAAGGCTCAGCGCCCTTGTACGAGATTGTTCCGCCTATAATGCCATGGAACATCTTGTTTCTTTGACATTGGTTGGGTTTTTTTTTTTAATAATATTTTTGGCTGATAACTTTATTTTTTTCTTATTTAAGGTTTGGGAAGCAAACATATCTACCTGAAGAATGGAGATCCTTCATATGTGAAGGAGCTTTTGGAATGTTTCAAAAAAGATGCCAGAAGTGTTAAGCTGAGAGCTGGGACGAACCGGCTGGAAGATGTTACGGATACACTAAAATCTTTCCTTTGTGAAATAGACGATGCACTACTGACCAAAGAACTTTATCCTTTTTGGATCTCAGCATTAGGTGACACATTATGCAATAGTTCTGAAGCTCTATCTGCTGCAATATAAAATAAAACATAGAATAACAGAAGTGGAAGGGACCTTGGAGATCATCTAGTCCAGGGGTCGCCAACCTTTTGGACCTCAGGGACCACCAAACTCATAATTTTAAATCCTGCAGACCAGAGACCCTGGGAAAATCCCCCCAAAAAAGTCTGCAGGAAAATTCCCAACCTTGTTTTCCTACCAATCAATGATTCTTTATTTGGGATCGCAGGATACCATCTCCAGTTCTGTTCTCAGGGGGAGTCAGAGAGAGAGAGAGAGAGAGAGAAAGAGAGAGACTTTTGGTTGCATGCAAGGAAAGCAGCAGAAGTCTTTCTTTCTCTCCCCCAAACTCCAGCAGAAATGAGTCTTTGTGAAACTTGTCATGCCGCACAGCCTCTTGGAGCAGGATGACTTGCAGGGTCTCAAAGACTCATTTATGGTGGAGTTTGGAGGAGAGAAAGACTTTTGCTTCTTTCCTTGCATGCAGCCAAAAGCAGGAGAAAAAAAATGTAGAAAGAAGCAGCCCAGTGGCCAGGCCAGGCAAGTGGGGCAAGTTCCCCCCCTTCGCCTTTTCCTCTCCTCCCCTCACTACCTTGTGTTGTTCTCAATGCAAGCGATGCAAGCCTTGTGTTCCTGTGGGTCATGTGGGCGGCACAGCCTTGTGTTCCCGTGCAGCCTGGATTAATTGCTTTGGAGGTGACATTTCTCTGCGGACCAGCAAAATTTTCTCGCAGACCACCAGTGATCCCTGGCCCTCTGGTTGGCGACCACTGTTCTAGTCCAACTGTCTGCTGAAGCAGGAGACCCTGTTCCATTTCAGACAAATAGTTATCCAATCTCTCCTTTAAAACTTCCAGTGATGGAGCAGGTGCAGCTTCTGAAGGCAAGGTATTCCACTGGGTGATAGGTCTCATCATTAAGAAATTTCTCCTTGCTTCTAAGTTGCTTCTCTCCTTGGTTAGTTTCCAATCACTGTTTGTTTTCTTGCCTTTTGGTGCTTTGGAAAATAGTTTGGCTCCCTTGTCTTTATAGGAGGCCCTCAAATATTGGAACACTGCTATTCTGTCACCCCTGGTCCTTCTTTTCATTAGATAGACATTCATTCCTGCAACCGTTCTTCCTAGGTTTTAGCCTCCAGCCCACGAATCATTTTGGTTGCTCTTCTCTGCACTCTTTCCAGAGTGTCAACATCTTTTTTACGATGTTGTGGTGACCAAAACTCAGTTGTGACCAAAGGCTCAGTTGTGGTCATAAGTCAAGGACTTCCCTTCATTTCTGTTGTGTCGATGAAGGAGAGGGTAATTGGATAAACAATCTTTGCAAATGCCTCGTTGCTGCTGAAGGGACAGGCCAATTCTGGTTGTCTTTTCGTCTGCATGGTAGTTAATCCCGGGTAATTTAATTTCTGCCCTTCCCTCTTCTCCATCAGATACACTGGATAACAAAGACAGAGTGAGAAAATACAGCACTTTCATTCGCACGCTTCCACCTGTCAACAAAGCAACTCTGGCAGCATTAATGGAACATCTTTACAGGTCAGTCTGAAAACATGATTTGAGCTGGTGTGGGATTATCAGTAGCAGCAGCATCAGGATAGAACTGGAAGGGACCTTGGAGGTCTTCTAGTCCAACCCCCTGTTCAAGCAGGAAACCCATATTATTTCAGACAAGTGACTGTCCAGTTTCTTCTTAAAAACCTCCAGTGATGGAGCACCCACAACTTCTGAAGGCCACCCTTTCCATTGGTTTATTGTCCTCACCGTTAGGAAGTTTCTCCTTAGTTCCAGGTTGCTTCGGTCCTTGAATAATTTTCATCCCTTATTTCTTGTCTTGCCCTCTGGTGCTTTGAAAAATAAATTGACCCCCTCCTCTTCATGGCAGCCTCTCAAATACTGGAAGACTGCTATCATGTCTCCCCCTAGTCCTTCTTCTTCTTCTTCTTTTTTTTTAGAATAGAATAGAATTCTTTATAGAATAGAATTCTTTATTGGCCAAATGTGATTGGACACACAAGGAATTTGTCTTGGTGCAAACGTTCTCAGTGTACATAAAAGAAAAGACATTCATCAAGAGTCAAGAATCTTAAGGTACAACACTTAATAATAGTCATTCGGGTACAATAAGCAATCAAATCATACCAGGAAACAGTCAATATAAATCATTAGGGCATAAGTGACAAAGTTACAGTCACAAGTGGGAGGGGATGGGTGATAAAGAGTGATGAGAAGATTAACAGTAATAGTAGTGCAGACTTTGTAAAAAGTTGGACAGTGTTGAGGGAATTATTTTTTTAGCAGAGTGATGGCATTCGGGGGAAAAAATTGTCCTTGTGTCTAGTTGTTCTGGTGTGCAGTGCTCTATAGCGTTATTTTGAGGGAAGGAGTTGTAACAGTTCATGTCCAGGATGTGAGGGGTCTATAGATATTTTCACAGCCCCCTTTTTGACTCGTGCAGTATACAGGTCCTCGATTGAAGGCAGGTTGGTAGTAATTGTTTTTCTGCAATCCTAATTACTCTTTGTCCCCCCATTGGGTTGCAGAGCCAAACCAGACAGTTACAGAGATGCAGATAAACAGACTAAATCATTCCTCTGTAGAATTTCTTTTCTCCAGACTAGCCGAACCCAAAGCCTGCCTGCGTTCTTCATACATTTTAGTCTCCAGGCCTTTAATCCAGCATATTATAATCCAGTGTATTATTATAATAATAATAATAGCATGGAAATAAGCACCTTCTTCAGGGGAGCAGGTTGCATTAGAAGAAATATTTTGCATGCATCATTTCAGATATTCATGAGATGATTCACGCTGGGACAGTGTGACTAGTTTATCCTGCTTTCAGGAGATGTTCTGACCTTTTCAAAAACGGTTCAGGACTATCAGCAAAAATCATTGATCGACAAAGTAAAATCAATGCGCGCAAATAGCCACGAAGGTTGCCCAAATGTAATGAGATCTCGCACACACGTATACTTCTCCAGCAATAGCTGACACTGTCTGAGGACCGTATGAATAACATCTCATTTTATATGACAAGGGTCTTCAAACTTGGCAAGAGTAAGACTTGTGGATTTCCAACTCCCAGAATTCCTGAGCTAACATGACTGGAGGAGAAATTCTGGGAGTTGAAGTCCACAAGTCTTAAAGCGGTCAAGTTTGAAGACCCCTGTTACATGATATTCACCTCATCTCTGTATTATACATGTGAAGTGGGATTAATGACACTGTAGCTTACAAAGACATCCTGGGAAAGCATATCAGAATATCAGAGCTGGAAGAGCAAGAAAACCCTATGCCATTCCAGAGAAATGGTTGTCAAGTTTATTTTTGAAAGCCTCCAGTGATGGAAGCACCCACAATTGGTTGGCTGAATGGAAATTTCTCCTTAGTTCTAGGTTGGTTCTCTCCTTGATTAGTTTCCATCCCTTGTTTCTCATCATGCCTTTAGGAGCTATCCTATCCTAACAATCTAATGCAATCTTTAATATGACCATAGACTCCATAAATACATCCAAATTATCCGCATAAATATACAGGTCATATCCAGATTTATTTTACAAGGGGGTAGATAATTGTAACAAGAACCAGTTTTGATGTCTACAAACTAAGTAACTGTGGATTCTAGTCCTGCCTTGGTCACAAATCTAGCTGGATGACCTTATGCCAGTCCTTTTCTCTCAGCCCTTGGGAGCAAACAATGGCAAACCAACTTTTGAAATTTTACACACACACACACACACATACACAAACTCTGAAGGGACTTATCTAAGTAGCTGCCAGGGGTCAGAACGTATTAAATGGTGCACAAACACAGAATATAGCCTTAGTCTTATATATATTCTTAAACATAGATGTTTAAAGCTAATAATCTAGCATAATAATGGAGGGGACAATGGAGGTCTTCTAGTCTAACCCCACTGCTCAAGCAGGAAACTCTACAGTGTTTCAGACAAATGACTGTCTTCTTAAAAAAACCCACCACCGTTGGAGCAAATTAACTTCTGGGGGCAAGTCGTTCCACTGATTAATGGTTCTCAGTGTCAGGAAAAATCTATATAAAAACACCATAAAGGAAGTGGCCTGTTTATTTACACAGTTCATTACTTTCTAGCTGAGCCCCATCTGTTGCCCCTTACCCAATTATTGCCTGCCAAAAAGTAAAAAAAAAAAAATTCAGCTCAAAGGGGTCAATACCCCAGCTTGGCCCTAAATGCAATCCTTAAGAATTGTTATTGAGGAAAATTTTTAAAAAAGCTGCACCCTAGGAATTGTTTGGCCTGCAATATATATTCTGTGCTTGCCTATAATTATGGGATAGACTTCTATGTTGTTCTAATGGCCAGTTTTCTGCATTTAAAGCTGTCCTTTCAAAGGGTTACGAGAGCCATTTATTCAGGGTTTGGCTTTTGAGCAACGAGTTTCTAACTCTGCATAGTTGATAAAGAGGCCAGCAAAACTTGTTTGAAGCTGGCAAGCGGTAGCCTAATGAGATAGACCTCCGGCAGCTCAGAGGCCAGGTTTCATGGGTGAATTATATTTTTGACCTTGAGTTGAGTGAAAGCAGAGTTTCAAACTCTTAAGGGGTTGCCGTAAAGAAGAAGGAGCTAATCTAGTCTCCAAAGTACAAGAATAATAGATGGAAACTGAATCGAGGAGAGAAGCAACCTAGAACTGAGTAGAAACAAATTAGAAATCAGAAATTAGAAATCTAACAAATCAGTTAGACGAAATCATCAGTGGAACGACTTGCCTCCAGAAGTTGTGAATGCTCCGTCACTGGAGGCGTTTAAGAAGAGACTGGACAACCATTTGTCTGAATGATATAGAGTTCCCTGCCTAAGCAGGGGGTTGGACTAGAAGACCTCCAAGGTCCCTTCCAACTCTGTTTTTCTGTTTTTTTCTAAGGCTGGGAGGACAACTCCTGCCTGCAAGTTTTTATTACTGCCCTAAATAGATGTTAGCTTTGATCCTCGTTCTCTATCATGTTCTCATCCAGGAAGAACATTTTCTTTAAGGCATCTTACGGTTAGGTAGAAGAATAGCAGTAGCAATAGCACTTAGATTTATATACAGTCTCATGGTGTTTTTACAGCCTTCTCTAAGAGGTTTACAGAGTCAGCCTCTTGCGCTCAACAATCTGAGTCCTTACTTTACTGACCTCGGAAGGCTGGAAGGCTGAGTCAACCTTGAGCCGGTGGGAATTGAACTGCTTGCAGTTGGCAGAATTAGCCTGCATTACTGCATTCTAACACTGGGGAGGAAGGCAAGGAAGGGAGGGAGGGAGGGAGGGAGGGAGGGAGGGAGGGAGGAAGGAAGGAAGGAAGGAAGGAAGGAAGGAAGGAAGGAAGGAAGGAGAGAGCAATAGCAATCTCACTTAGATTTATATATCATTTCCCAGTGCTTTTCAGCCCTCTCTAAGCAGTTTTCAGTTACCCTCTTGCCCCAACAATATGGCTCCTCATTTTACTGACCTCAGAAGAATGGAAGGTCGAGTCAATCTTTAGCTGGTCAGGATTGAACTCCTGGCAGTGGGCAGAGTTAGTTTGCAATACTGCAATCTAACCACTGCGTCACCACAGCTCAAGAAAGGGATTGTGTCAAACTAGAGGCATGAGAATCATCAGTTAATGACCTGGGAAAATCAGTTAAGCTGGGAACACGTAGAAGTTCAATTTAATGAGAACATCTCTTTGAGTTGAATTCTGTTGTCGGGAAAGGCAAACCGCGGCCGCTTCACTGCTTGCTATAACGCCTGCCGTATATATTTATTTTTATCAGATTTATTAACTTCATCCACAGGGTTCAGAAGTGTTCAGAAATCAACCTGATGGAGCCCCACAATCTGGCGATGGCTTTTTCCTCCTGCTTGTTTCAAACTAGAGGACAAACAAGTGAAGAGGTTGATGTGGTTGAGGACTTAATTGTAAATTATGTGCAGCTTTTTGATGTGAGTACCCGCCGTATCGCTCCGATCTCCCTGGAGGTAAAATTGAGGCAATTGGGGTGAAAATTTTAATCCTGCTTCATCCCTTTGCTTGGGAAGGTGGTAGTGATGATGATGATGATCATAGCTTAGTATGATATTTGCTTTATAATTGGAATGGTTTTAAACAGAACCCAGGGTTTTGCTGAATCGGCAAATCAGCCGTCGACTCCCATGATTTTCATTAAAGATGTAGAATATCGGAAAACCCCTTCGGAGCACTGGGTGACACTAACGCGGTGTTTTTCATTTGGGGAAGGTGTCGTTATGTCTCTGGTGTTATTTCCCCACCGCACTGGCTTATTTATGAAGTCAAGAATGTACAGGGTTTTCTGCGAGCACAATAGGCAAGCTTACAAAATGCTCCCTGCTGTATGTATACGTAAGGGAGTTGGTGTGGTCAGAAAGAGAGCACCCATTTTCTAAAAGTAGTAGCCCAGGCGGGATACAGTGATGCAAACTGGTGCTCTCCTTGGAAATAGGCCAGCATTCTGTCCTTCTGTATACCTCTCTCTTTTCCTTCCTTCCTTCCTTCCTTCCTTCCTTCCTTCCTTCCTTCCTTCCTTCCTTCCTTCCTTCCTTCCTTCCCCCTTCCCTCCCTTCCTTCCTCCCCCCTTCCTTCCCTTCCCATCCCTTCCCATCTCCTTCCTTTCTTCCTTCCCCCTTCCCTCCCATCTCCCTCCCTCCTTCCTCCCTGCCCTCTCCTCCCCCTCCTATCTCCTTCCTTCTTTCCTTCCTTCCCCATTCCCTCCCATCTCCCTCCCCCTCCTCCCTCCCTCCCCATCTCCCTCCCATCTTCCTCCCTCTCTCCCCTTCTTTCTCCCTGCCCTCCTCTCCTCTCCCCTCCCTTCCCATCTCCTTCCTTCTTTCCTTCCCTGTCTCCCTACATCACATCATATCACATTACATTAAACTACACTAACTGAAAATGTAATATAGATGATAGATAGATAGATGGATGGAGATGATAGAGATAGATAGATGATAGATAGATAGACAGACAGACAGACAGACAGACACACATATATATATAGAAAGAGATATAGATACAGATATACAGATAAATAGATAATTTGGTTCGCATTTGGTTCACAATCTTAGATAGATAGATGATAGATAGATAGATAGATAGATAGATAGATAGATAGATAGATAGATAGACAGGCTGACACAGAGGGATAGACTTACACACACACACACACGCCAACTTGTACTAGTAGCATTACAAATACTTGCATTAGGAAATTTCAAATGCTTGTTTTTACTTTACTTTTCTTTTTTAAAAAAATAATGTTTAATTTATAACCACCACAGAAGAAGGATTAAGGTTTAGTGTTTGGAAACATTTCTCTGTGGTTATTGTTTTACTTTTCAGAAAGATCAAAAGAAGGCCGCTAGCACCTTTTGTCAAATGATTTTATCTTGAATTGCCACTCACTTTATCAAATGCAAAAAGTGGTTGAACGAATGTAAGATTTAGATTGAATTTTAATTGAAGTGGGCTGGTTCAAAAGGAATGGGAAGGTAGGTGGGCTATACAAATTCGTATGATTAGGAGCCAGCGCCCTAATAAAACATTTTGCTGTCCTTGTTTTCAGATTCTTATTTGTATTTAGTTTATCAAAATATAAAATACAGAAATACAAAGAAAAAAAGGGGGGGAATTGGGGAAGGAATAGGGGAAGAGGAAAAAGTGTAGGATAAACAGGGAAAGAAACAGAAAAACATTGACTTCTAATTCCTTTTGGCACAGTAGAATACGATAATAAAGTACAATTTAGATTTTTTTTTACTTTTACATAATAAGATAAAGTAGCCATTTCTATGACAACAACTTTATCAAATCAGCCAAAACTAAAATTTCATTTTTCCCCCTCACCTTAAGTGCTAAGTTCAAAAGTGGTTTCCAAATAGAGACAAAAATTGTGTTCTTTTCTTCAGTCATTTCAGAATAATGGTGTTGGAGGTCCTTTGTCCAGCCCCCTGCTCAAAAACTATACTGCATGCTCAAAAACGTGTAGACTGCTCGAAAACTATATATTTTTCCCCCTCTTATTGGTCGGGGTAATGAATCTGGCCTCTTTCTGTCCAGCTCATCTCTCTCAGTCTATATTTATGGTTTCTCAACCGTAGCAGCTTAAAGACATATGGAGTTCAACCTCCCAGAATTCCTCAGACAGCTTGAAAGAGACGAAAAGCAGGTTTCTGGTCCAGCACCGTCACCACTAGCCCACACTTAGCGGTGGGCTGCTCTGGGCTCTCTAAGACTCTGTGGGACGCAGAGAGCCCCCAATAATCTCAGAAAGACAAGCAGCACAATAAGGGGATCCTGGGGCACTGCAACTTTCATAAATATGAGTCAGTTACCAAGTGTGATGGCTCAGGGTGGGGTACAAAACAAACACAGTCACAAAAAACAGGTGAAGCCCCTTTTATTCCTTCGCTTTGCTTCCAAGCTCCAAATATCCTTGACTGGAGACAAAAAACCTCCCCACAAGCAGTTACAAGAAGGAGAAAATGCCATTTAAATTATAAAGAGTAAAAAAACAACACAAATGAGGCACGATGAGGGTTTGAAGATGTCCACAGATATCAGAACACACATTGGGAAGGACACCAAACTCAGAGAGGAACAATAAACTAGAGATATTTCCACGCTTTGTTTCCAGCACTCACCGGTATGCATGTCCATCCTCTTATCCAGTTGTCACAGCTGCAGCCCATGAAGTGGATCAAGGTCCTCTCCTCCCCAGTAGACCACATCTTTCCCTTATCCTCTCCTCCCTGTGTGCCCTAGGACAGAGAGGGGCTCTGACTGGCCAGCCGGCCTCTGCCCTTCCCCAGCCTCCTCCACAAACTCCGGAGCCACACTTCCACTCCCTGTCAGCTGTTCCTCCTCTCCCTCAGAGTCAGTCTCCACCAGGGGCATGACATCAAGCTTCTGAATTTTGATCACGTGACCAATGGTGATGCTGCAGAGGTCGTAAGCGTGGAAAAACAGCCATGTCATTTTTTCCCGGTCCCGTTGTAACTCTGGTCACTAAATGAACCATTGTAAGACGAGGACTACTTGTAACCCTTTTTTCAAATCAACCTTCTTGGTTTCTTCAGTTCCCCATTTTGTTTCACTGTGCAATGTGGTCGGCCCATTTTGTTGCTTGTAAAATGGTGCGAATTCCCTCTTGACTTTGCGCTGTGCCAGATTGACGCATAACTGCAAGAAAGTGTAAATCAATCATGGAAACTTCAAGAGCAGTCATAAAGCTGTCCAGAAAAGCCGATGCTGAACTATCTATAGCTGTAAATGTAAAATGGCTAGTAAAATAACCAGATTTTACTACGTACTTGGGCAGGTCACACAAATGCAGCAATGCAGACATTAATGTAGAAAAGACAAAATATAAAAGAGCATAGCTGAAAGGTCTGTAGAGATTCTCAGCCATCCAGGTCATGGTTGTCCCAAAGGTTCTTTTTCAGGAGGCAAGTGGACTTTCTGGTTTTTTCTTTTTTCTTTTGAAGATGTTTTGCTTCTCATCCAAGAAAAAAACAAGAAAAAGTCCAGTTGCCTCCTGAAAAAAGTACCCTTGAGACAACCATGACCTGGAGGACTGAGAATCTCTACAGACTTTTAGCTATACAATTTGGGATGAACACCCTTTGAATAGTGTGGGAGTATGAGTGGATTTCCAGGGAAAAAATAATGCAGACTACAGAAACCATTAGCACTACTCAGGTAAGCCTGAGGACACAGATAAACCTCCAGGTGCCCTCAACGATCCTCTAAAAGGATGCAAATGACCAGCTGCCCACAAGGAGTATCAATCCTTCCATTCCCCACCATCCCGTCAGAGCTAAAGAAGCTTCTTGGTTGAGGAGTGAAACGTTTTCAAAAGAAAAAAAACAAGAAAAAGTCCACTTGCCTGTGAACCGCCAAATTTCCGGCAGCCGGCAGCCTACAGAAGTAGCCTGCAGTACTGCACTCTAACCACTGCACCACCAAGGCTATAGGAATCCTATTTGCCATAGGCTGTAGATCAGGGGTGTCAAACTCAAGGCCTGTGGGCTGTATTTGGCTTGTGGTGTGCTTAAATCTGGCCCACGGTGCCGGCCTTGAAATATCAAAGGACTGGCCTGGAGTTGCTTCTGCCAGCCAAAACGGGCTGTGGGGAGAGGACGGCCATTTTTGGCTGGCAGAGTGCTGCAGGAGGCCAGGGAGGCCGAAGACGGGCCTTGTAGGGGCCTCACGGGGGCCTCCGCATGGCCCGTTTTCGGCCAGCAGAGTGCTTCAGGAGGTTGTTGAGGCTGACAATGGGGCAGAGTGGGCTGTGTGAGGCCTCCCTGTGCCCCATTTAGGCTGGCAGGGGGCTGCAGGGCGCATCCATCCCATCTCCCTCTCCCCATGCCCGGAGGAAAACTACAATGCTGGCCCTCGAAGAAATCCAGTTTGATACCCCTGCTCTATATCAGGGCTCCAGGAAAATTCCCCATCTTGTTTTCCTACCGATCGATCATTCGTTATTTGGGATCACAGGAAACTGTCTCCAGCTCCATTCTCAGGGAGGAGAGAGAGAGAGAGAGAGAGAGAGAGACCTTTGGCTTCATGCAAGAAAAGCAGCAGAAGTCTTTCTTTCTCTCCTTCAAACCCTGCCAGAAATGAGTCTTTGCCAGCGGAGTCTCTTGGAGCAGGAGGCCTTGCAGGGTCCCAAAGACTCATTTCTGGCAGTTTGGAGGAGAGAAAGAAAGACTTCTGCTGCTTTCCTTGCATGCAGCTAAAAGCAGCAGAAGAAGCGGGACGAAGCAGCTGGGTGGCCAGGCTAGAAGCGTGGGGTGAGAGTGACAAATTCCCCCCCATCCTTTCCCCCCTCTCCTCACTACCTTGTGTTGTTTGAAATGCAAATAACACAAGCCTTGTGTTCCCATGGGCCATGTGGGTGGCACAGTCTTTTGTCCCCCCACAGCCTGGATTAATTGCTTTGAGGGGTGCTTTGGGGGTGACATATCTCTGCAAACCACCAGTTTTCCCCGGCCTACTGGTTGGCAACCACTGCTCTAGATAATTGTCAATCATTTCTTATTCTAAGTTATAAGTTATAAGCTTTAGAAGGTCTTCAGGTTTTCCTATTGCTTATCAGTGATTAAAAATGCCAGAGAACGAAAGCTAATTAACCAACAGGCTGGAGTTTAGCTTTATCCTTTCTGTGTTTAGCAGCTGAGGTGCTGACATTGGTTCAAACTTCTAATTAAAAGCTGAAGTCTACATTGCAGTCGTTTTTAATTTTTATTTGTCTTTGAAGAAGCTCGTCATCTTTGATCCATTCAAGCCGCAACGATGGCATTGATTTAAGTGAGGTGAGCCTCTTTTAAGGGAGGCCCCAACTGAGATCTAAGCTTGTTGTGACTTACGCAGCCTGAATTAAATATCATTGATTTCACTGGTTCATATAACAAGATTGCAGCTGTGCGTTAGGACATTTTCTGTGGTTAATGGTTTATTTTAGCATGCCCCTGTTTTATGAATGTGTTTTTAATTTTTCTTTTTATTAAAAAATGATAATAAGGGAGGATATCTATGTGCGGAGACTCATAAAAACCTGTGGACCTGGGCATATATATGCTGTATTTGTGACTTGGTTTTGTTTGTATTCTGCCTTCTCATTTAGAACTTTCTCATTTAAAGTAACAGAGTTGGAAGGGATCTTGGAGGTCTTCTAGTCCAACCCACTGCTGAGGCAGGAAACCCTATACCATTTCATACAAATGGCGGTCCAATCTCTTCTTAAAAACTTCCACTGTTGGAGCATTCAGAACTTCTGGAGGCAAGTTGTTCCACTGATTAATTGTTCTATTTTCCAAAGCACCAAAAAGCATGATGAGAAACAATGGATGGAAACTAACCAAGGAGAGAAGCAACCGAGAACAGAGGAGCAATTTCCTAATGGTGAGAGCAATTAACCAATGGAACAGCTTTGCCTTCAGAAATTGTGGGTGCTCCATCACTGGAGGCTTTCAAGAAGAGACTGGAAAACCATTTGCCTGAAATGGTCTCTGGGGTCTCCTGCTGAAGCAGGGGGCTGGACTGGAAGACCTCTGAGATCCCTTCCAACTCTATTATTCTGTGTTCTGTATATTCTTCAGTCTATAGTTCCAAATAAACATATATATATATATATATTTTTGCAGATAGAAATTTAGCTCTAGGAGTATCCAGAAAGAAACCACTTTAATTTTTTTCCCCACAGAGAAACTGACTTTTCAGCTGAGGGAGTAAAGATCAGTATATTTGCAGTTTAGGCTGAAAACATTGAATGCAAAGCATGAAAATAAAATTGTTCCCATGAATGGTGTTGATTGGAAGAAAAGTTGAGGTTCTAATGCAAGAATTCCACCTTATTTCCAAATAGGCAGCTTATAATTTTTCATCTTACTTCTTTGATATAAGGGGTTGGAAGGTTGCCTAAGATAGAACAGTCTCTGGCTATCGTTTTGGTAAATATTAAAGTATTTTTTTAAAAAAAAATATTAATGAAAGAAATAACTTTTGCAACAATATTGGGTGGAATAGACCAACAGATTTGATTAAACGAAAAGAAAAAAAGTCATGGGATGGAATACATTCGTTTTACAGAAGAATTGGATTGCGTTTGCTGTTTATTGTATTACTGAAAAATTGTTTTGAGAGATGGACATCTCCCTTTATTAGCCCAGTCTGCGTACATCGGATGCAAAAATAGAATTTCTTTGTTAAAAAAGATGCTCAGGCAACTCCTTTCATAAAACTACTGTTGTTGTTGTTGTTTACACAGATTCAGCAAGATCGTGTGAAGCAAATGGACATTGAGAACAGCTTCATCACCAAATGGAAAGACACACAAGTATGTAAAGGCATTGTGATGACCTGGGGCGTGGCACAAAGGCAACACAGTCAAATAAGCAATAAGAATCCCTTTATTATCACTAACTTTGACCCCAATGTCCAGGTTACCTTCGGTTGGAGAAAAACTCTCCCAGGACCAGCCTTTAACTGTAAAAAATTCAGTCCAAAACAAGGTACACACGAACTGTAACTTAGAATCCAGACAAACCAAACTGAAGTAATTAGTTTGACAAGGCAGGAGAAAGAATTTCAGACTTGAAAGCATGGCAAAACTCACACAGTTGGGAAGATGCCAGGAACACAGATAAGCCATGACAATACAAGATAAATTCACGTTTGCTCCCAACAGCTGCATGCAGCTTCCTTTTTTATACACTATATTCCCAGCTGCAGCTAATGTAGGGAATCAGGGCCCTTTCCTCTCCCGTAAGCCATGCAACTCAGTTGCTCCCTTCTCCGTTCCTCCTTGCATGCCCTAGGATGAAGAGGAGGTGGGCCTGGGTCTTCCTCTGAATTCCCTCTCCCTTGTTCTACCTCTCCCTTGTTCTACCTCTCCCCTGCTCTGCCCAGCCAGACTCTGCTCTTCCCCAATTTCTTCCACAGCCAACGGAGCCATACTCCTACTCCCTGTCAGCTGTTCGGCTTCCTCCTCTGAGTCAGATTCTGATGGGGATGATAGGCATAAATCCTTCATTTATGCAATGAATAAATATGGTTCACAAACACAGGACCGCTTTCCAGCTGATAAGCCCAGAGTCTCAACCACTGAGCCAACGCGCTGCCCAATACAGTATTAAACAATGCATATTAATAATGGGTACCTAATAATTAAAACTATCCAAATACTGACAATCATAATAATTCTTCCCTGAAGAAGCCCATCAGCATTGAGGTCCTCAGATCTTCAAACTATGGAGCATCTATCTAGAATCTGTAGTTCTCTGGTACAGATCCTTGTTCTTAATCATAATTACATAATTTTCTGACACTGAGAGCAATCAACCATGGAGCAGCTTGCCTATAGAAGTTGTGGGAGCTTCATCACTGGAGGTTTTCAAGAAGAGACTGGACTGCCTTCTGTCAGAATTGGTGTTGGTCTGCTTTGGCGGAGGGGGGTGTTGGACTAGACCTACAAAGGTCCCTTCCAACTCGGTTAATCTGTATCGCTTACTGCTGATTTGGTACGTTTAAATTTAATAAATAAATCTTTAAGTAGCCAGGGGCATTGAAGGAAAGTTTGCCTTTGCTTTAAGGATATTTTAGTCATTCTTTTGTGGACTATGTATTTACCCTCATTCATTTTTGGCATATGACAAAATTGAACGAATGAATGAATGAATTCTTTATTGGCCAAGTGTGATTAGGAATTTGTCTTGGTGCAAATGCTCTCAGTGTACCTAAAAGAAAAGATACATTCATCAGTCAAGAATCATAAGATACAATACTTAATAATAGTCATAGGGTACAATAAGCAATCAAATCATACTAGAAAACAGTCAATATAAATCGTAAGGATACAAGCGACAAAGTTACAGTCATACAGTTGTAAGTGGGAGGGGATGGATGATAAGGAGTGATGAGAAGATTAATAGTAATAGTAGTGCAGACCTTGTAAATAATTGGACAATATTGAGGGAATTATTTGTTTAGCAGAGGGATGGCGTTCGGGAAAAACTGTCCTTGTGCCTAGTTGTTCTGGTGTGCAGTGCTCTATAGTGTCGTTTTGAGGGAAGGAGTTGAAACAGTTTATGTCCAGGATGTGAGGGGTCTGTAAATATTTTCACAGCCCTCTTTTTGACTTGTGCAGTGTGCAGGTCCTCAATGGAAGGCAAGTTGGTAGTAATTCTTTTTTCTGCAGTCCTAATTACTCTCTGGAGTCTATGTCTGTCCTGTTGGGTTGCAGAACCATTCATTGTCTTACATGGGCAGCCTTCAAGATTCAATTGTTTCAGGAAATCTTAATTTACTAGGACAAGGAAAAAGAGAGGCTACCCAGTGTTGATTCATGCCTTTTTAAAAAAATAAAATATCCTTTATTTTAGATTTCTCAGGCTGGGGACTTGCTAATTGACGTTTACGTGGAAAGGAAAGAACCCGACTCCAGCATTATAATAAGGGTCCGTATGACTTTTTCTTCATTTTTTTATTATAAAAATTGTGTATTTCCTCTGCTACTTTAAGACAGTTCAAAAGGCCATTCTTTAAAAAAAAACACATTGCTAATATTTAAATTTATAACTATTTAATTATTATCACATTTTGCAGAACAGATCCCATACTCCATCATAACCATGCACGGAACCCTATGCCTAGTTTAATGAAAAGAAGGACCAGGGGTGACATGATAGCAGAATTCCAATCAGGAGTGGACTTCAAAAATTCCAGTAACTGGTTTGCTGCCCAATTGCTGGGTGGGTGTGGCCATGGTGGGCATGGCCAACCAGAACTTCTGGGAGGGCCCTCTTTTGCCTTCCCAAGGGTCCAGAGGCTTCCCTCGGGCCTCTGGGAGGGCAAAAATGGCCTCCCCTGGGCTCTGGAGGTCCTCTGGAAGCCAGAAACAGGCCCGTTTCTAGATTTCCAGTACTTCCGGTGCGGCCATTTTTCACATTCCCAAGGGGATCTGGAGGCTTCCATATTGGATGAAAATACATACATGTTTTTAAAAAATGTTAAAGAACCACATAGACTATAAGCCAGGAATATTTCCGTTAGGCATAGTACCAGGAAAATATGATAAAAGGGATATATATTTAATATTACATGTCGTGTCGGCAGCAAGAATTGTAGATGCACAACATTGGAAAAACGAGGAATCATCTGTAGAAGAAGAAGTAATTTTTTAAAAAATGCTAGATCGTGTAGAAATGGATAGGTTGACATTCAAGATAAAAGATAAAGAATATTTTCAAACATGGGACTTATTCTATCAATGGCTGGACAATACAAGTAGAAATTAGAAATTGGAAAAATACTTGAAAATAATTTTTTTTTCAATAATATTTTTTTTTCAATAATTGAAAAATATCTATGTTTTATGTTTAATGTATTATTATATTATATACTATTATGTAAGAAAATTAACCTAGACAATATACTGCTCATAAAGGAAAATATATACATTAACTGTTAAAAAAAGTTAGAGGGATTTGATGAAGATTGGATTCATTATAATTTTAGATTACGCATCCTAGGTCATAGGCCTTTTTTTTTGTTTAGTTTGAAGCAGAGGTGGGCTTCAAAAAATTTAGCAACCAGTTGGGGGGAAGGGAGGAGCTTGCGCCGTGACGATACGGTCTGCAATCGAGCTCCTCGATTGCAGCCGATATCTCCGTTACCGGCCGGTCCAAACGGACCTATGCTGTCCCGTGGGGACAGCTATCGTGAAGAGCGTACCCTGAGGACTCCGGGGATATCGCAAAATCCCTGGAAGACCCGGGTGAAGCTCTCTTTGCTGGCGGCGGAGAGGCAGCCCCCATGCTGCTGAAGTCGGGGCGGCTCCAGAAAGAACGGGTCTGAGAGAGAGTCTGTCGGTTGGGTGAGAAACTTTTTTTTTTATTTAATTTTTTGAGTCTTGAAAGTTCGCTCTGATTATTAGAAGAAATCTGTGTGATTTTTTTTTTTTGACAAAATTGACTAAGCGGCGTTTTTTTTAAGGGAGACGTCAAAGAGAGAATTTATTTGCTTTTTTTTTTCTTTGCTTCTGGACTTCATTGTTATTTACTGGATAACTGGACTGTTCCTTTTTATATTTATATGTTTTATTCTTCCTTTGGATTTTTCATTTTTAGGCTAGAGGCTCCCTTTGTTTATTTTTTTTATTCTTTTTTGCTTTTATAGGTTTGTGTATTCCTTGCCGGCTTTTCTTTTTTTTATGCTGTTCAGAGAGGAGGGGGGAAAGTGAGAACTAAGAAACTTTGTAACACTGCCAACTAGAGGCTTGGAAACATTTTACTTGAACTGGAAAAAGACGAAGAACTTCTTCTCAAGGACATCTTCTGATAAGACAGAGGAAAGCGCTTGTAGAATATTATTACAGGTGTCTTTCTGGATATTTATGGCTTAGCTTTGAAGCTTGTGGGAAAGAGAAGGGAGTCATAATTAGAGCCTTGGACAATTAAATAGAGTGCAGTGTATTGCTGTTTACTTTCTTTTTTTAATTCTTTTTTTTTTAGTTCCGCCACCCCCTCCACCAGCATCAAGGTCTTTATTTTTTAAGTTTGATTTACTTTCAAAGGGAAGCCTCTGAATTTTATTTTTTATTTTTACTTTATTTTTTCTCCTTTCTATTTGGATTCTGCTTTTCTTTTTAATGTATATCAATGGACTATTTCTTTTTTCTTTTTTCAATTGAGATTTTTTTTTTTTTTGGCTGGATTAAGGTGTGGAATTTGAAGAAATTTATTCTTCTTGTTTTTTGTTTTGTTTTTTCTCTCTTTTTCTCTTTTCCTTCTTTTTGGCTTTGACCTTGTTTATTATTATTATTATTATTGGGTTTTTATTCTTATTTTTACTCTCTTTTGTGGATTATTTTTTTTAATTGGATTAAGGTCAGGAAGAATTTGAAGAATCTTTTCTTTTTGCTCTTTTTCTTTTTCAGGTTTTTCTTCTTTTTCTCCCATTATTGATTCTTTTTTATTATTGGCCTTTTCATTTTGGATTATAATTGGCTACTTTTTTTGGATTAAAATTTGAAAGAACTTGAAGAGCTGGAACCATTTAAAATGAGTAAGAAACTTATATCTTCGGGTGCCTCTATGTCCACTTCTGCCTCCCCACCATCTGGACAGCGTTCAATTCAGACAATGTTAAAGCAAGATAAAGAAAAAGAACAAGAAAGAGTATCTTTTCAGATGATTATGCAAGGAATACAAGATCTTAAGGTAAAAATAGATACCATTGAACAAAGAACAGGGAGGACGGAGGAAAAAGTGGAAAGTATTCAACAGATGATGACAAAATATGAGGAGAGACTTCAAAAAGTCGAAGAAGGGGGCAAACGAAGAGAGGAGAAGATTGGAAATATTGATAATAGACTAACAGTGATTGAACAAGAAAAGAGTGGGATGTTGAAGTGGGAGTTGGATAGATCAGAATTTTATCTTAGATTTCAAAACATAGAAGAAGAAAAAGGACAAGATTTGGCTGCGATAATGGTAGGAATCTTGGCGGATGCGTTGGAGATAACAGAAGAGAAGATGATGGATGGAATAGATGTATCGAGTTTTTACAAGATATGCGATGAGAAATAACCTGCCTAGAGAAGTCCATATTAGATTTACTAAAAAATCCATGAAGACACAAATATTACAAGTGGCAAGAGAGAAGATATTGAAATACAAAGGTAAAGAAATTTTGGTTTTAAAACAAATACCTAGAAGAGTGAGAGAGATGAGAAGAGAATATCGATTCCTGACCAAAATGTTATTGAAAAAGGAGGTGACTTACAGATGGCTGGTCCCAGAAGGATTGATGTTTACGTGGCAGGAACAGAGACATAGAATTGATTCAATTGAGAAAGCAGAACTGTTCTACGCAGAAGTTTTTGGAGAGAGAGAAGGAGAGGCAGAAAAGGAGGTTCCATTAACTGAATCCCAAGAGGAACAAATGGAGATTGGAAAAGAAGAAGGTGCAGTAGGGGACAAGTGGATATTAAAGATCAGCGTGAATCAAGACCCACGAGAGTGGTTAAATCTAAATATAAAATATAATCATGGAAGAGAAAAAACTGATTACAATGAATATAAATGGACTGAATTCAGCTGCTAAGAGAAGGAAGATTTTCCATAAATTAAGGAAACTAAAGTTTGATATAATTTGTCTACAAGAAGTACATATTAAAAAGCAACATGAACAATTGTTATTACAACCAAAATTAGGGAAATTGTTTACCTCTTTGACTCAATGTAAGAAAAGAGGGGTGGTCTTATACATTAAAGAGGCTATTCCAGCAAATGAGCTATTTCTCATAGAACTATCAAATAGGTTTTTGGAGGGAAAATAGCATGGGATGAAACACTTTCCATAATATCCATTATTATGGTCATTTTTAACCATAATAAGTCTTTTCTGATATCTTCTTTCACAGCTTCTGATGTCTTGGTTGGGCATATTTCTTTTTTTCCCCTTGTGTGAGAGCATAAAACTCTCTGGTAACGCATGAGTCCCTCTCGGGAGTTTTGAACAATTTCTATATGCTTATCTGATTTCAAAGTAGATCTCTCCAACAATGGAGGCGGAAGAATTGACTCGCGATGTACTGGGAATCAAAAACCTCACCCCTCAGAAGGATGACATGTGGGCGACCTTTGAAGTGATTGAAAATGGAGAACTAGGTTAGTCATTTTCTACATCATCTTGGAATATTTTTTAGGCTTAACGATTCCTCGCTGTTTCCTTCACAGAAAACAGCAACAACAGCAAACAGCAGGAGCCTTAGCGCTATTTCATGGAAACACACGATGTGAGGTGATTCTGAAGGAGTTCGTTTTGGAGAAGTGACAGGAGAGGGACTACTTTGTCCAAACTCTTCTCCCTTCCCCTTTAGTTTATTCTCCCCTCACCCATCCCCCCTCACACTTCCCCCTCCTTCTCTCCCTCCCTCCCTTCCTTTTCTTCCATTCCTCCCTTCCTTCCTTTCCTTCCCTCCCTCCCTTCCATCATTCCTTCCATACACCCCTGCCTCACTCCTTCCCTTCTTTCTATCCCATTCCTCATTCCCTACATCCCTTCTCTTTCATTCTTTCCTTCTGTTTTTCCTTCCTTCCAACATTCCTTCCATACA